CTGTGTTTTCTAGGAAGGGGCAGGTTCTCATACAGGTGTGGAGAGATAAAAGAGACGTCAAACTTATCTCCACTCTTCACACAGCAAAAATCGTGGAATCTGCAAAAACGAATCGCAAAGGAGAAAAAATGTGCAGACCCGAGGTAATTGGGGAGTACAATAAACATATGAGAGGGGTTGACAGGGCTGATCAAATGCTGCATTATTATCCTTGTTCCCGCAAAACTGTAAAGTGGACAAAGAAACTGGTGTTTTTCTTGTTGCAAATGGCAGCGTTGAATAGTTTCATTCTATTCAAAAAGTACACAACAACAGAAAAATACAAGAAGAGAAATTACAAATTCAAAGATTTTATATTGGACTGTGTAGAAAAAATGACAGAACCAAACAAACAGTGTGGAGAGGGAGAACAGTCAAGGAATGAAGTGGATGATGAATCTATTGCGTCAGACTCGAGTGCAGTCACGCCTCCGCCCGCAACCTTGAGAAGACCACCAGTGAAAGACCCAGAAAATCGTCTGGAGGGTGGCCTGAAAGTTCACAAAATGGTCCATGTTCCTCCCAGTAACAATAAGAAGAATGGTGCCATGAGTAAGTGTCGAGTGTGTGCTAAGCACAAGATTAGAAAAGAAACAAGTGTCATGTGTGCAAGCTGTGGTGTGGCTCTCTGCAAACTTTCATGTTTCAATGTTTATCACACAAAGAAAAACTACTAAAAAGGTATGGAAAGACATTTATTGCATAAAATATTGTATTTTTAATAGTTCCTGAAAATTTCATTTTTAAAAACCAATTTTTGTTGAAGTTGTTTAGAAAAAAGTAAGCTCATGCATCTTAGCGACATAATGTTTAAAGGGCCTGCCAGGACAGGGGTGGGATTTAAATATCCTTCGCGCCAGTCAAAGAGTTAAGATCAAAAATGAGATTATCAAGTTTTACCAGGTTAGGTTACCTATCACCCTTACAGCACTGAATTGCTCATGCAAAGGTCGAAAATCACATTTATGGTATATATTAGAGAATGCTTTCCAGCTAAGATGATTTGTACGTTATGTTCCACACTTGAATAAAGTTTGAATTAGAAATGTAGTACATGCTTTTCAAGGATATTTCATTTCTCTTTTCAGGCTACATATATTTGTCTTCCTTCTATAGCATGTCCATTTCTCTTCAACTTATGTCATAAATTTCCTAATACAAGTACATATTTATATGGAAGCCATAAGCTACTTAATTTTGGAGCATCCAGCAGTAAGCCCGTATTTCAAGGTCTTTAAGTGACCATAGCCTGTAAGTATAAAGAATATCACTCCCAAAAGCTTCTTCCCCTCCAAGAAATATAATTTCTACGTAATGGTCATTATGTAATAATTTCCTGTCTATGGGCTAATGGTTAGGTATGGTTTTCATGTGACCAGCTGTTCCTTGTATGCTGAAGAAGATGCTGGATACTGTGAAACTTAAGTTTTTTTTAATGTATAATTTGAAATAAGTGTTAGAACTTTTCTGCAAGATGGCATGAAAGAAGTATCTGTCTGATTTTTTAGCTGATAAATTTTATTGCATTAATACCTTTATGCCCTTTTATAAATATTTGAGAAGTTACTAGCACAGCTGCTTTGTTTTATGCATACTGCTTGATAAGGTCCTTCAGTCTGTGATTATCAGTTGTCGCACAGGTGCACCACCCAGCAAATTAAAGGACCTAAGTAAATGTTTAGTACTTGTCCCATCTATGATTCTCAGGATTGCCACTTGAAGGAGTGTGATATCCTTATCCTTATGATTGTTAGCCAGACATCCGACTGGGATAATCATCCTGAGCTGGACACAGCAGCTTCAAAGAAATTCCAGATATAAAAGAACCCTTGGCCTCTTAGGGGATCCATCCAGCCTCACTCAAACTCTGAAGTAGGTCTTGTACCAGTCCCTTTCAGAGCATTCTGTCTGAAGTGTGTGTTGATCCTATGCTTTTGCCTCTATTATGGCCTTTATAAACCTCCTAGCAGCCCCAGATAACCCTCCTGAGTGCCACATCAAATGTGCTGGTAATGCCAGCCCCCTTATAAGCAACCTCTTATTTCCACATTTGTTCTGGTATCACAGTTTCTGAGACCTTTCTTTGGATAGCTTTCATTTTTGCCCTGTTGAGACCTGATGAAATACACTGTATAATCAGAGCCATTTACACATGGAACTGGTTACAACAGAGTATTGCCCAGTGCCCTGAAGGGTTCATTATCAATAACTACATCTTTCCCTACATCCTGTACCATTCATCCCTGGGAAACATACCTTCCTCTTTGGTTTGGTTACAAGGTGCCCTATCTGCTATTCAAAACGTTGCCCCCTCCTCATGACAACGCAACAATTCGATTCTTTTATGGAGAATCTTCTTACATTACGCCGTTCTATCACCACAGTTCGGCCACTATGGTCACTATGTGGCAGTTGCCTGGTTACCTGACTGGATCCCAGATTTCACTTTTCAAAATTACTGCTTGCACCTGCTCTCACTCTCTCTTTGCTTGGGGATTTTCTTATTTTTCCTTCTACCCTGAAGATGGAAGCGATACGTTCCTCCGAAACGTCGGTTAACACATCTACACGGCGCCACATCCCAGACGACTGCTTTCTTCATAGTCATCGCCGTCACCGCGGTCACCGCCGTGAAAACCTCAAATCTTACGTACTGGATTGTCTTTTATGGAGATACCAAGAGATGGCATTTCGTAACATTTTGACCATGCTTTGATTTTGTAAGACACGGAAACATAATCTGGCTCTAAAATCGGTATTTATTACGCAATTAAGTCGTTAAAGGCGACAGTCTAAGTCAAGTGTCTCCAAACTATGGCCCGCGGGCCACATGCGACCCGCGATGCGATTTTATCCGGCCCGCGAAAGAATTGTGCAGAAATGCGCCAATTGAACTAATTTTCCAATGAGTACTGGTAAATGTGATTCCGAGCCCATTGACCTGACATATTATACTGCAGTTTGATGGCTTAGCTGTGGAAAGGTTATTTCGCGCTTCTTTCAGCTCAGGAATGAAACTGATATATTTCTTACCGAAAAAACCATCACGAACCACTTTTATCAGATACCAAGTGGCTTTGGAAATTAGCAGTTTTGCTGATCTGGTGAACCATATGAACCATTTTAATTTAAAGTTGCAGGGTGAAAATAACTTAGTCTGTGGTTTATTTGCACTTATCAAGGCATTCAGAGAAAAGTTGATACTTCTGGAAAGCCAAGTGAAAAATTTTAACTTTGTTCATATGCTATACTGTGCAGAGTTGCATAAAATGGACGAAGCAGAATTTCCTTCCTCGTCTGCAAATTTAGTCATTTTAGATTTGAAAGAACAATTTCGTAAGCGATTTGCTGATTTGGATGCCAGTGCTCAGGAAATTAGATTGTTTCAAAATCCGTTTGACTGTGATGCAGAAGATGTCCCAAGTCAAATTCAAGTGGAAATTATTGAACTTCAGGAAAATTATCATATTAAAGACAAATAAAAGGAAGGAAATTTGATCGAATTTTATAAATTTCTGAACTTTGAGCAATTTCCAAATTTAAAGAAGTTTGCTTGTAAATTTATCTGCATTTTTGGGACAACGTATCTCTGTGAACAAACTTTTTTCCCAGATGAAGTACATCACGTCGAAATACAGGGCAAATTTATCCGATGAACATTTAAAGTCGCTACTTGTGATTAGCGTTTCAAAATTTGAACCTCAATTTAATCAGATTTTAAGAATGCAAAAAGAGTTCCATCATTCACATTAATTGTTTTAATATAATTTGCGATGAAAATATGAGCATTTGCTGCTACTGTCTGTTGTCATTAATATATACGATAATTTCTTCTCATGTACTTTATATTTAGTTATGAAATTCTGTGCTTTCACTAAAACTCATATACCTAGAGTTATTAATTTCTCATTTTATCCGCCCCGTTGAAAGTGCTGAATTACCTAATGTGGCCCGCGGTTCGAAAAGTTTGGAGACCCCTGGTCTAAGTGAAAGTGACAAATCATATATGCATTTAACAATTATCCGATCTCTGAGCGACTACATGTTGATCAGGTGACGATTTACTCCTACGTTGTGCTTACGTTTACGGTATCAGCGGTTTCCGCCGTTTCTATCGATTAACTATAGTTCCGTTTACTTCGGTCACGTGCTGCGTGCTGCCTATTCCCTGCGTGTTGCTATGAGTGGAGCCGATTGCAGCATTGTTAGCAACTGTTTGGAAGTTGGTAGGCTGTAGTGGATTGCACAGTATTTCTTTTAGTGATTTCTTTGGTGAAATAATGATGGAATATCGATGTTTAGCGGTGATACTTTTCGTATTTTTTGCAATTTTCACAATTAAAGATTTATTTGTTCAATCGGAACTGTCGGAGGCAAACACAAAGGAGATTCCCATAACGAGAATGGGATCAAGTACTTTTATCGGACCAACCATAAAATTTATGTATTGGTAAGTAATGGGACCATTACTTATTGACAGTGACAGACGAGATCATAACACTGCTATAATATCAAGATTTGATCTAGTGTTACATGATATACATTGTAGAAGTTTTAGAATAGGTTATTTTCAAATAAGGTAGGAGAAGTCGGAAATAGTGTATGAATCTTAAGGATTTGATGTGTGTGGTCATAAGGGCATGCACAAAGCAGCTACAAAGTTAACTATGCATGCCATTTAAGATCTTATCTCTATGCTGCATTCCATTCTCCGCACAAATTTTAATTTTTCCCCATATTCTTCTGGATATCATCTCCCATGTTGACAGAGTAAAGTCATTAAAGTAGTCCCTGGTAGCTGTTTTTAGGTCTTCAACTGTTGTTAGACGGAATCGAGAAATTCCACACAAATATATATATTTCCACGGAATCATTTTTGTTGTTGAAAAGACTTGAATAGTTCTGTTTGCATGACTTTTGTTTCACTTATCTGATACACCAGGATAAAACAAACAATGAACATGGGGCACAGTTTCATGCATAGGAACTTTGTGGCTACTGTGTAAACAGTCCAAGTGATGAAGGTGACAGATGAGTGTTATAGTGATTGGCAGAGGCAACAAAGATACACCTCCTGCATTATTACTTTTGTCCACCACAAATCCCTTATGGACCTTCAATATCAAACCCATGCTTGCATTATGAGAAGCTTGTAAGTATTCATTGGATGGCATTCTCTGAAACAGGCAACGGTCGAGAATCTTAACATATACGAGTAGTTGCAGGTTGGTGTTGGGAACTTCTTTAAAAGATTAGAAATACTCTTAGAAATTATCCAGGCATGTATGCCATTTTAGTCCATGTGCCTTTCTGAAGGAAAGAAAGTAGCCTTACGGTGTCACCATGCTGTGCGCGTTTGCATGTTAATTTATTTTCTTAATCAGTTGATCAGTTTTCTTTACATGTGATGTGATTGGTATGTAATCAGAGACCATCTCAGCCTCATACATGTTATTTTCATGCAGTCAGTAATAATAGCATAGGGGATGGACAAACTTGTGAGGTGGGGGATGTACTGGCACCGCTTAGTCAGTGGTTCTGACTTTATAGATGATAATAAATCTTTGCAAAATATACAACTTTTGTTGAGGCAGTTTTTGTAGAATATACAACAACAAAATGTCACCTGTATGAAATCTGTATTATTGCAATAACTAATAAATAAAAAGGAGCTAGGTATGTGAAATTAGGTATGGGGATTAAAATTTGCTTAGTGGGGGGTTGAGTCCAACTGGGTCCACTTGGCACTGTGGCCATTGATTGGCCTATTGTAGCCTGTCCTGGATGATTATGATGATGGAGAATTTGGTGGAATGAAGATTGGCAAGGGAAACCGAAGTACTCGGAGAAAATCCGCCCCAGTGTCACTTTGTCCACCACAGATCCCACTTGACCAGACCTGGAATCGAACCCAGGCCTCCACGGTGGGAAGCCAGTGACTAACCGCTTGAGCTATGACGCTGCCACAAGGTATGGGGATAGATCGTAAACAAATCTACAAACTCCATATGAAATAGTGTCAGCAATTAAGGACATGCTGGAGGTGTGACATTTTTAGATTGTGTCTGACAGATGTAAGGTAGACAGAATCTATATTTAACAAGCTCATACTGGAAGTAATATACTGCATAATATATAATACAATTTATGTATATTTTATGAAACAGTTTATGATATTTTATATGTGTATATTTTGTTGTTCTGATGCCATTTCTATGGAAACATAATCAGTATGACAATGAAAATACACATTACTTTTTAATCCAACACTAAGCTCTTTTACACAGTCAGCACAGAAAATGAAGGCACCATCAGAATAGCAAGTAAAGTAAAGCTATCCCTGTACCAGGTCGTGAAGGCCCATAGGGTTGTGAGATGGTGAGTGTCCCACATTTTCTAGACAATCTGCTCAAAGATGGCGGTAAGGTTGTCAGCCTTACGCGCCGGCTGAGCTTTACTCCCCAGGAAAATTAATTAATTCCTGGTACTCATTTCTGTTAGAGGCTGAGTAAACCCCAGGGCCTAGTGTGGCTGGAAGGAAATAAATCCAATGACCTCATTGGGACTTGAACCCGCGACCCTCTGGCTTGTAGCATAGCCCCTCAACCACTACGATACTGCATGCCCCTCATCAAAATAGTAATTAAAATTAACGTTTTTTGTTTTACATAGGAAAAAATTAATTTTAATTGTGTCATTCTAGCTTATGAAATGTAAATGGTTATTATTTTATAAAGTTATACACAATTTTTCAATGAATATTTTTAAACCATTACTAACATAATTTAGGGTTGCAAGTGAGATATTTTAATTATTTTATTTCATGTGTACAGAGAGCCATACTGTGTTAAGAGTATGACATTAATTTGGGAATATGAGTGGTTTGCGTGCAGTAATACCTAAAGTTCTGACACTGGTCAGGCCAGACAAGGGCTGCATTCATCCTCTATATATGCCATATCATGCCCATCCCAGGTCATGAGAACTAAAAAACCCATGTGAGGCTGAGGGAGATGCTCAAAAATCCGTCATAAGGTCCTGATCTCTCCCCCATGATTAACGTGTCTTTGGCCTTCTGAAAGAGGTGTTTGGGGTCCTTGATTTTAGCCAGGTACCAAAGTACAGCAGATTATGAATGACTGGTTTTACAGAGATTCTGAATTCTCAGAAAAAAGGCATGCAGCACTTGGTGACTCAGTGGGATACATACTAAATACATTATAGTATGATGTCAGTATATATAAATGTACATAAATATTTTGGGCATTGTATTTTACAGCTATTCCTGTGGGTACCAGAAAGCATATCAGGATTATGGAAATATTATACATGAAAAATATCCAGAAATCACAGTAGAAGGTGAACACTATAATCCCCCTGGTTATAACATGTTTATTGCAAAAGTATTGGTAAGTAGAAGGATGATGTGTTACGCTATGTATGATAAAATTATAATTCTCCTTGTTGAAGAACTTTGTGCTGAGTAGAGGCAAGAAGCTGTATATCAGCAAGAATATTATGGTTTTGGACATTATCCATCTTCCTGTCTTATCTAAAACACCATCCTGTTTATAAAGACAAGATAATGGATAATGTCCAGAAATATAATATTTGTACTGATATACCATCATCACAAACTTTCAGATCTCATTAAGCTGTATATCAGCTTTGTTCATTTGTAATGGCGTAAAGGTGTTCATTGGATTGTTTTGAAAGCAGGATAAGGAGTCAGTACATTTTCTATATTCAGTACTAAATCCCGAGTGTTTTGATTTTTTCAGTTTTGGATATAGTGCCCAATCCAGTTAAGAGTTTAGGCTGTTAAGCAGATGAAGCGACTGTAAAATAAATTCAAGTGCAAAAAAAGGCTTAGCAAAATTCTGCATCAGAACAAGAAAATGAATATAGTTTGTTTTATTGCTAGTGGGGTGGGACTAAGTACATTGTACTGCGGCCACTTCTGGCCTATTCTACCAGCCCCAGATGATAGGTGAGGGTGATTGTGGAGCAATTGATGGAATGAAGATTGGCAGGTGAAACCGAAGTAGTGGGAGAAAACCTGCCCCAGCATCACTTTATCCACCACAAATCCCACTTGACCAGACCTGGGATCGAGCCCAGGCCGCCGCGGTGGGAAGCCAGTGACTAACGGCTTGAGCTGTGGCGCGGCCCAAATAAATATAGTTAGTAGAAGAAATAGAATAATTTAAAATAAAGCTCTTACAAAAAAATATCCATTGTTATTTTATCAAATGCCTACCACAAATTATTTGGCCATTCTGGTAGGTGGGGATTCACAATCCTCATATCAACTTATTCATGCACGTTCTGACTAGTGGTAGTATCAGCAGGCCAATAGCCTATACACATTGCAGTTCCAGTAACTTGTTGAACAGGTACTATATCAAACATTCAGTCATTTTAATTTCTTTGTGTGTTAAAACACCATTTGAGTTTAATGTTGATATGAGTTTCTGTGTATGATGGCCGTGTGACAAATGGAGGGAAAGCTTTGACATACATTTCAAGTTTGAAGCTTGTCTTTTCGAAAAGTAACATCAACATGTTACTTTGAACATTTTATTTAGGTGCCAGGAATGTGTTTGAAAGAACATGGAATGTCAATGGATTTATACTGAGCTATGTAACATTACAATCCAGATCATTATCTTCATGATCATTGCTGTGAAACCTCAGATCCAGCTTGGGTGAGGCATATTTGTGATTTGTTGGCCTCTGCGCATGTCATGTGCAGTATTGGTCCAAATGTTCATAGTTAAGTGCCTTCTGCCCAACCAGCCAGATGACTTTTAGCTGGCTGTCAGATATTCTGCATGTATACAGTTCAAACTTCCACAGAACACAGTTTAATCCTATCATCAAAATTATGTTTTCAATCAAAACAAACACTGTAATTAAATTAACATGGACTGGAGCATGATGTATTGAAGAATCTTACAATCCACAAACAGTATGTGTGATGTTGTAGTGCACACCATTAGCTGTAGATCAGATGACATGTTGCAAATATAGTTGAAGTCAGTACAGAGAATAGTAGTGACTTGATAGTATTTTTAAGTGAACAAGGTCTAATTAAAATTGGAATACACTGCTAAGAAAACAGTGATTGAGAAGTAGAGTGAAATATATTGTTTGATACTACTTTTTTACCTTCTTATATATGGGTCAATTTTCTTGAAATCAGATTAGTTCTCAGATGGATTTCACTGTTGTTTGGTGTTCAGCAACCAGCACTGGTATACCAAGTGACAGCTAATTTTGTTCCCATTAGTTACATAGTCAAGGTCAGTTATATGTATGAGGAAAAGTTTATGGGATGTCTTTGTACCAAATTTTTACTGTACTCCTGGCATTTTTGCATGTTTCACAAAATAGCATATTGCAGCACAACTTTGCAAAATTGGCAAACATTAGTGCTGTGGCTGTAGCTTGTTAGTTAAATCTTCATTTTTGTTTTGCCCTGAGTGGCAGCAATACTTGTAAATGTACATGTAAAGTACTCAGAAGTTACAGGAAAATATTTAGCTTTCATGTGATAACTAAAAAAGTAATTTTGACTGGGCCATTGACTGAAACCCTTTTCATTTGTCAAAACCCAGACTGTATTGAGAAGGGTTACTGTCCTTTTTCTCCTGACCCATCAAATTGAGATCTATGAATATATTGCATTAATTATTCACTCATGGAGCTGAGTCCTTCTTGAGAAGGTGCCAATTGTAAAGCTGCTTGAGAACTTCCCAGCATTTTATGGAACCCAAAGGTTTATTACCATGTTCACAAGAGCCCTCCACTGGTCCCGATCCTGAGCCACATCAGTCCAACCCATATCATCCAATAGTATCTCTCTAAGAGCCATTGTAATGTTGTCCACCCACCTATGTCTTGGTCTTCTCAGTGGTTTCCTTCCTTCCAGCATGCCCACCATTATTCTATATGCATTCGTCTTATCTCCAATTCATGCTACATGTCCTGCCCATCTCATCCTCCATCACTAGATCATTCTGATTATACTTGGAGGGGAGTACAAGTTATGAAGCTCCTCATTATGTGGTTTTCTCCATCACTTCATCTCTCTTCGGTCCAAATATTCTCCTCAGCACCCTGTCCACAGACACCCTCAGTCTATGTTCCTCCCATAATGTTAGAGCATGGTACTTATACTTCTGCAATGGAATATTGAAGATGTGTGACTGTGTACACTGTGCCTGAAACATATTTGAGGGCATGTCATCATCAGATAGTGATGTAGATCATTGGATTATCTTGAGAAAGTCACTAGATCCTATTTTAAACACAGATGGAATTAGAATCACTATATCGAGGATGTCGTTGAACAGACAGGTTCTATAATTAAGGTAGGATGTCCCCTCAGAGATGTTTTAGATAGACGCAAGAAATGACACAGTGAAGAAGGGCCTATTAATGATGTTTGCTTCTGACTGAGCAAGGTGAGGCATCTGAATGTGTCTGTAACAGTTCACATATCTTCATATTATACATTAAACATAGGAATTGTGTTTCAGTCACCCGAGAAGAACGGTAATTTGCCATCTTCCATAGTCTGTAACTTGGATGTTGGTTCTTGCAAAATGACTGTGCGCATGCTGACTCTCACATGCCAGTCTTAATTGTGTGTCATTTTAATTTCATTTTCTTCCAGGGAGTTGGAAAAATGCTAGTAATAATATGCATTTTGACTGGCATAAATATTTTTGATTATTTTGGACGTGTGGAACCATCATGGTGGAAGTGGTGTGTGGAGTACAAATTTTATTCCTCCATAATGTTATTTTTCTTGTGTAATATTCTGGAAGGACAGCTGGTTTCAACTGGAGCTTTTGAAATATATTTCAATGGTGAGCAGAATATTAACAGAACTCAAAGTGTATGCATGTGTCCACAACTGTGATGAGTGAAATTCATGACTGAAGAGTAGTATCAGACACCCATTGATGTCCATATATTTTGATATATATATAGAACCACATCAGGTCCAATGGAACTTGTGTGAATTTCAGAAGTGTTTGATTGGGGCCATGTATTAAGCACCACCTTTTCATAAACCATGTGCTTACTGAGGTGTTGTATGAAGAAAGTATTATTAAATTGTAAAACCACTGAAATGGATTCTGAGGGTAGGGACTGGATTAATTTGGCTGACTATATGGATCAGTGGCTGGCTGTTGGAAACACAGTAATGAACTTTTGGCTCTGTAGAAGGCAGGGAATTTCTTCACTACCAGAGCAACTGTTAGTTTTTCAAGTAGGAGTTTCCTCTGTGGGGTTTGTTGGTTAGAATTTATATAGAGCCTACTGAAAATTCAGTGTGAATTGTTAAAAAATCGACTTAATGCCTAACTTTAATTACTTAAAAAGTTTTGGAAAAAATGCTACATTTAAACCAGTGTGCTAAACATATAACGATATACACCAAGTGGTGCTGCTTTCTAGAGGAAATGTTTTCATCAGAGGTTGCCTGTAGTACCAGACTTCATCGAAAATATCTGATCTCTCAACTGGAAACAGAGCTTCCTAATGACCATTGTCTTGTTCACCAGAGCTGCACATCTTTAAGTCACAACTTTACCAACAATAACAGGGGTTGAGTGATTTAACCTTGTGATGCAAAATAAACCCATTTTAGAAAACCGAAATTAACAGCTGTGGGGATTTGTTGCGCTGACCACGCAACACCCTCTGTCTGCTAAAGTTTCCACTAAAATTCGCTGACAAGCAGCGGTCACTTGGTGGGTTTGCGGACTAAAATCACAGAGTTTGTTTTTGTTGATACAAAATAAACACAGATGGAAACTTTGTGAACTTCATTAACAAGTGTTATTTTAACATTACCACCATGTACTCAAGTTTCTCCATGTACATTTTGTAATCAGGAGCTGGGATAATGTAGTCAGTATGGCGACTGGCTACTGGCTGGGCACCAGAGAGGTTGGAGTATGAGTCCCGGTAGAGTCAAGAATTTTCGCTTCTCCGTATCCAGACCAGCTCTGCGGTCCACCCAACCTCCTATACAATGGGTGCTGGGAGTTTTTTCTCGGGAGTAAAGCAGCTTGGACATGACGCTGACCACTCACTTCCAACTAGTGCCGGGGTCAAGAAAACTTGGATCTATATATCCACCCCCCCCATACTCCTTCATGGCGTATTGCTTGATTAGTTAAGGACAGGGACAGCTTTACTTTACCTTTATCTCACATTTTGTAATCTTCACCACAAATTGTTGAGAATGATCTAAAAAGGTGCAGATAGTTCAAACCTTCAAAATACAGTGGAACCTTGCTTAACGAGCACCTCTCATAACGAGTAATTCGCATAACGAGCAAAACAAATTGTAAAAAATGACTCGCTTAATGAGTGACGTTTCGCATAATGAGTGACGAGAGAGGAAGTCCCAGACTGTGTGCTTGCTACATCAGCCTGTGTGNAAAGCGAGAACGAGGTGTGAGCGTGGCTGATCTAGCACGCACATACAGTCGGTCTACATCAACGGTTTGCACGATTTGGAGTTGCATTGTGTTTCACAGCAAGAAGTTGTGGAGGAGAGTTTGTCAGAGGAGGAGGAGGTAACAGCAAAGCAACAATCTTCTGGCGCAATAAGAGAAATGCTGAAAGCATGGGAAACTGTTGCATTCTACATTGAGAAGCATCACCCTAATAAGGCAGTGGCTATGCACACTACAAATTTATTTAATGATAATGCTGTGTCGCATTCTCACCAAATTTTGAAGCGTCGGCAAAAACAAATGTCTCTAGACAGCTTTCTAGTAAAAAAGAATTAGATATGTATCATAAATAATAAATTAATTATTTAGATATCTTTTTGTTTTCTGCAAATCGAATTCGCATTCCAGGTTCGTTCATTCTGCATAGAAGAAAAGATGAAGATGATTCATGCTCCTTAACGATGTATATATAATTTTCTTTGAATAAACGTTATACATAAAATTTTATGAGTAATTTTTTTCGGCATGGAATGCATTATCGTATTTTACATTAATTTATATGGGAAAAATTGTTTCGCTTAACGAGTATTTCGCATTACGAGTAAGATTCTGGAACGAATTATGCTCGTTAAGCGAGTTTCCACTGTAAACAGTTCCAAATTTGACTTTTAAAAGTTCTGCTTGCTCCTTGCTTCTTGCTGCTTGCTTAGCTTATTCTTTGATCACAAAGATGGAGGCAGTTTGTTGCTCTGAATTGTTAGTGAACTTCTGCTAGGCTATAAGGTGTCATGTCCCTGAAGGTGCGTGCCCATCTTGAGTGTTGATTTCGTTTATTTTTTGTGACAACAAATGTTTGTTTTTTTTTCTTCTAACTTTGAAATAGGCTGCAACAGAAAACTGAAATTTGCATGATTGCAAACCAAGTCAATTTACAGTACCTTCAATTCATTTGGGTCATTAAATATTTCTTTCAATGTTACAATGAGTGAAGCGTCATCCTTGGCAGGTTAATTTACCACAGAACAAAAGAACCTTCTGATAATACACTGCAAAGACATGTGAAGTATCTATTTATCCAGTTTCTAAGACATATTCAATGTATTTGTTCATTCAAAAATGTTTATTTACAATAGAAACATGGTAATGTGTGTTTTATGTGACATAAAGTTCTCCAAAAATATATATTCTTTACATAAAATTTTGTTCCCTTGAGGTTACCATAAAATTTCATTTGGTTGTTGCCATTTTCTTTACACATCCAACAATTTTAACACCTCATGTTTTTATGACATCCATATAACTTGTTACTTATTCCTTACACTTGGCAGTACCTTTTAAATTATTTTAATAAGCAGAAATATATAGTATTTGTAATGAATGCCATTACTCAACCACAGATGGTGATGCCTACAATTGTTGATAAACCTCCCAATATCTGGTGTAAAGTGTATGTTGCAACATGCAAGACTACATTCAAATGGTAACCTGACATCTGAACCGTGATCCTGAATTTCTTCCTTTTCATGAGAGGCGTACTGTTGTTCATAAATATATGTTGTTGAAAGTACTGAGAACATCTTCCTTCACCAGTTCTTCAAGTTACTGTATTTTGCTTCACTTAATCAAAAAATAAATTCAGAAAGCTTCACAGAAGCAAACTTCTGTTTTAGTTCCCTCTAACACTGCAAGTCTCTGGCTAAAGATTATCCAGAGCATTTTTGACACCAAAAGTAGAAAGTAGGTCAACAAATTAATTTCATATTGTGTTTCCCTGATATCATCTGAAATAAATTCTTATGGTCAGGGGAAAAATGTATTATTAAGTTGCTTGAGAAATTTTAAAGGAGCTGGTATCAATTAAAAATAATCATATAGGCAGATTTTCAGAGTAGCTGCATGGTTTGGATCCAGCCCACAGGCAATAGTTTGTGTACCGCTGCCCTACATGCTGCTACTGAAAAGAATAAAATTGAGTGTAGCCATGACAGATTATTTTTATTCAGGATTGTGGTTACATAAAATTTGCTGTTTGTGAATGGAGTCACAGCAAAGTTTTTTTTTTTTTGTGAAGTAATTCGTTCTGAGTCAGTTTCACATGGAGTACTTAATTTCACATGCAATTCTACTTTTATAATCTTAAATAAATACATATATCAGATGTATTTTATTTTCTTTTTCAGATGTACCAGTTTGGTCAAAGCTTGAAACGGGAAGGATACCTCAACCACCAGAGCTCTTCCAGATAATTGATAATCATTTGCAGTTCCAAACAAAAGTAGAAATAAAACCTGGATTTGCTAAATAATGGGTTGGTATGTTTTAATTTGAAAGTCTTACAATTTTTCTGTCATGTTTAGTGATGACATGACTGACTGACGAATTTATTTTGTTGAAAGAGAAATAGCAGCTTATGTCTAACCAGTAACAACTTCCATTAGTTCTCATAATCATGGATGCTCTTAGATATTAAACATCAGATTATAAATTGTAACTACCTGATTTATTCTTGTTACATTTGCTTCTGGATAAAATTGTTAGGTAGTTACTTCATATGGTTCATTTGAACTTTTCTACAACATTTCCAACACTTTCTTTATAAGCATGTATATAGTAAACCTTTATGGAATGCAGATTTGCTCATACATGCAGTAACAAAAGGGAACAGTTATTTGCTGACTGAAAAATTAGACTGTACACAATCTGCCCCTGGCCCTGACCCTGAATACTGGAGCTCAGTTGTGTTGTTGAGGCAATGTTTTTATCTTCTGGCATGGCATCCTTCCTGCATCCTATAGATGGAGTTATTAAAACATTTAAGTCTTGTTGCACTTGAAATGCCTACAGGCATGCATTCCAAGCTGTAAGCTCTGTTGCTTTTAATACCTTAAAGCATTGTGAATAGAGCCGTTCATTTTCATTATTCATAGGAAAACCTGTGTATTTTGCGCTCACATTCATGTATTCCCATTTAACACATGAGGCAGTGGTTTCCAAACTTTATATATAATGCCACCCTCTGAGCTTAACAGAGATTAAATCCCCCCACCCCACCCTCTCTAGACTTTTTGTGTGTGCACAGACAGCTCTTCAAATTTTTATTTTTAAAATCAACAAACTTTAGGTTTTATTAGTTAATAATACCTTTCAAGATTTTATAAGTGCATGAAATTCAACAGATATTCTCTGACATTTGGGTATTATAACCCACACATTCCGTCATGGTACCATTACTGGGACAAGTAACTTATCTCTTATAAGTGTAGATATTTTTCTGAGCACTTCCCTTAAGCACAGTTCTTACAGTAAACTGTCCTTAATAATAGGATAAGATATTTCTTGTTTGCTATCTTTGAATTGTGTTTGGTTTTTGCAGGTACATATACGTAATATCATACTGGAAGTTACTGTATTGCCACTATTGTAGATGTATACAAAGATGACACCTGCAGATGCCTAAGTTGACAACTTTTAACAGATGTAGCTTCCAAAATCGGAGACTGTGTGAATGCTGCAAGAGATTTAGTACTAATTATTAGGACATTGTTTCTTGTCTTGGAATGTGGTGTGCAGCTTACGTTAATATGATATAACACTCTGGCCCATCTTCCTTTTCATGTGTGGTCCTTACAAGAGGGAGGTAGAGCTGACTTCACTTACATGAAAGTTAACTGAGTGCAGAGTTAATAATTTTATTAAGAGAAAATTAATTAATATATAGTTGTCATGTAATGTGCCAAATGTTTTTGTCCCTAGCAGGATATTCAAAATTTTGATACCAGTGAAATGCAGATCTCATTCAGGACTCTCAGTTTGTGAATTAACAGTGTATGTGGGACAAATGTCATAATAATTTTTATTCAGTCAGTTTGTTTAGAAGCTAAGTGGTAATCGGTTATATCCAGATGAATATAATGACAGCGAATATATATACATATAAGAATATGATTTTTTCCTTTGGAATGTATGATCTAAATTTGAAGTGACATTTTTGTGTTGTTTTTGTGCTGTTACGTCTATGATCAAGTTACAGAATACCACTTTAGATATTATTATGTTAATGAATTTACATGGAAATATACTGTTGTGATTACAATTGAATTTCTTCTTTTACTGCATCTGCAACAGAGGCTGAAGTATTGGCTGGTAAAATGTGAGGTTTATTATGTATGCAGGCAAGGGTTGCAAAGTTTGGAACATTTTCTGAGCCATTGAAAGTTATAACATACTGTAACGTGTTTGCTACTGAAGATGCCGTTCGGATTGTTAATTGGTTTATTTAACAACCTACAAATCGTAACTACAATTAATTATGACAATGCTACGGGTTTACACACTTTGCAAATCCTACTCACAAATCTCTTCACACTATCTTCAGTACTCTTCATGTATTAATAACATGGGAGCTATACAAGTGTCACTGCATTACACACTCCCAATACCTTCTCAGTTATCACAAACTATCACGGATTATCACACATAAACTCTTCTGATCACGTGTCCAGTTCTTCTTTCTGTGACTGCTGCTATATTCCAACTGACTCCCTAGTCCAAGACCAAGTCACATTGCGACTGACGGTCAGTCAGTCAGTCAGTCAGTAAGTCTTGGTGTCAAGCCCCATCTGGGGGTCATGACCAGATATTTATTACCTTTAACAGTTATGGTCTAGACTCCCTAGGCAGTGTAGTACTCTTATAAACCCTCAGACAGACAACGGGAAATGCCCCGCTTCCTTGTTGCCTAGTTGTGTTTACAGATTGCCTAGCAACAGTCGTTGCATGGGCTCGCCTGTTGCATGATGTCAGAGCCTTGCGGCGAAGGGTGTTTACCAAGCGTTGCATAATGATAGGAGTGGGGGTACGTGACGGCACTCGTGGAAACGCAGAGTTCACTTGACCCCTACTTCCTGTTGCGCCATCCATGTCACAATACTCTAACAAGGCTGAAAAAGGTGTGCTCCATGATATAGTACTCAAAATTACAATGGCAGTCTTTGAAGTGTATTAAAAAATATTTGTCCCTGTGCTTAATTAATTAAGGACTGCGCCCTGAAGGCATATGGGGGAGTGGTTGTATAGATCCACATTTGCTTGATCTTGGTGCTAGCTGGAGGTGAGTGGTAAGCTTCCTGCCCCAGTTGAAGTATATTAAGCTTATTTAAAAACAAGATTAATAAAATGCAAATTAATGGCAGTCACCCGTCTCATATTCTAACAATATCTGAAAGGGTGTGTGCAATATATGGAAAATATGCCCTTATGTAAACTAGGCTTTAGTACGAATCAGTAGCGTTGGAAATTGGAATTGTGCAAACATTTGATGAAAATCTTCCATATCAAATTTCAACAGAATATGTGAAAGTGTTTATGGGATAATGGAAGATTACATTTTTGGCCTTATGCAAACTGGCTTCATTGTGGATATGTATGGCTGACAGTGGGAATTGCTTAACAGTGTTTGCTATAATGTAATCAAATTTCAACAAAATCTTTGAAATGGTTAATGGGATAGATGGCAAAGCTCATTCATTACCTTTTTTAAACTAGGCCTTATTATGAATCGGTAAATAGGGGGCACTATGCTGCAAGCCAGAAGGTTGTGGGTTCAAGTCCCAATGAGGTCATTGGATTTTTTTTTTCAGTTGACCTAATCCTTCCAGCCACACTATGGCTCTGGGGTCAACTTAGCCTCTAACAGAAATGAGTACCAGGAATATTCTTGGGGATAAAGGGTGGCCGGCACATAGGGCTGACAACCTTGCCGCCATATATGAGCTGATTGTCTAGAATATGTGGGAACCTCGAACATCTCACAACCCTATGGGCCTCCACAGCCTGTTACAGGGATAGCTTTACGATTACTTTTACTTATGGTTGAAAGTAAATATTGCTTGGAAACTTTTAGTGAAAATTGGTTATATAAAATTTTAAGATGTGTCCAACACTTCATGTGGTGACAAGCCCATATAGAAGGGGGAAGGGGCTGGCAGGGCCATTTGGCACAGGCTGCTGGCCTAGGGGGGGCCCCACATGTACTCATATCTAATTAGAAAAATTATAGTAAGCAGAAATTCAGTAACTCCATTAATTGTTTTATTACGTAATTTCATATTTCTTTGAATAAATAATAGAAAATCTAATTTTTAAATACACAGTATGTCCAGGTTCTGTTAGGACTGTGTTCATTTAAAACACAAGACGTTAATTATTTTCAAAATTTCACTCTTTTTTTTTATTCAAAATAGTCTCCTCAATCTGCACATAGCTGGAATCGATTGAAAAGTTTTCGAAAACTTTTGCGAACAACCAGAAATCTGCTGGAGCCAAATCTGGCGAATACGGAGGATGATCAAGGACTGTGATCCCTTTTCTGGCCAAAAGAATCACGCATGATCATCGATTTATGGGGTGGGGCATTATCGTGGAGGAGCTACCAGGAACCTTTCTCTCGATATTCAGGTCAAATTTGAAGAATTCTCGCCCACAAATGATTGAGGACTCCAGACTCCGAGTTAATAATTAGAATTCACTGTTTGACCTGGCAGAAATTCCTTGTGACTGATTCCTCTGGAATTGAAGAAAACGTTTAGCAGTGTCATTACTCGACTCTTTTGCATGCACACTTTCTTAGGGCTCAACCACACTGCACTCTGCCGCTTTGTGAGAGGCATATATTGAGAGCACCATGTCTTGTCACCAGTAACAATAGATTTTGTAAATTTTGTATCACTTTGGGCTGACCGTAACATGTCTCTGCAGTGTTCCACTCTGGCATGTTTTTCATCGCCTGACAGCATGTGCTGTACAGACTGCGTACAGACCTTCTGTTTGCCCAAATCCTCAGTAAAAATTTGATGCACAGTACTTTATGGTATTCCCAAAAGCTCCTTGATGAGTCTTGCAGAAACACATCTCTCTAATGCAAGGATTTTGGTCCGGTCACTTTTTTTACATTTTCTTCAGTGCAACTTGTTCTCGGCTTTGATGCACATGGAGCGTCTTCAGTGTGTTCCCTGCCATCAAGAAATACAGCATACCATCGAAAAATGTTGGAGCAACTCAAACAATCCCTACCGTACACACTTTTCATAATTTTGTACACTTCTCCGGCTGTTTTGCCTAACTTCAAACAAAGTTTGATGTTTGCTCTCTGTTTAACCACCATTTTCCGACAAGCATCAGAACAGTACTGTTACATTCAGAGTCAGAACACATGATGCAGCGATGCTTGCACATTGAAATTATAGACAGCCACAGCTGGAACTTCAAGAATCTTAATGCTGCAACTCGCCAACAGATGGCATTGCAGGGCAATGCTGGACACACCGTGTATGTTCATATATTTATGTGGCTTTTGGATTGGGCTGGTGGCACCATATTTGTGGCTGGTCTGGGCTTCATCTCATCTCTTGGGCCCAGTGTGCTGATACTAGGTCACAGAAAGACATGACCTCCATGTGATGTGTTCTTATTTTGTAAATGTTTACAAATGTTTCTTTGATTTGATGTGGCATATGTGAGTGGTCATTATGAAACAGAATTATCACTTTTTGCTAGGGTTACAGTAAGAAGTCCCATTGTTACAAGAGTAGTTCACATTTGACTGAGACATTGAGCTGAAGATTCTTCAAAAGAGATGGCAGCTTTCACCTTACTACACAGCACTATGTCTCAGAAGATAGAACTTTTGTAGATGGATTGAGCATAAGTATGCAGAACCATGTGTTGTGGTTAAGAAAGCTACGTAGACCGTGGGAGCTTGAAGCTAGTCTCAAAGAATTATGCGGGTTCATATTGAAGTTAGGGGCGCAAACCCTGTCTCCTTCAAAAGCCCCCCCAAAAAATGGTAACCACCAAGGGACAATTACAGTGTGTAGGCTGGAGGATAGTTTGTCCTGCCCTATTACCAACCACCTTCTGGCTGTTACTTGATATGTTTTGTTGTTCTTTTATACAGCTTCTGAATAATTGCCAGGGAGCCTGTCATGTTGCAAATGCATGTTTGTGGTTTTATGAGTGTTCTGCGAGTTCTGGAGAGTGCTTCACAATTTCTTACTTACTAACGACCCATTATTTGTTTTGGTGAGGTTTGGTGTTCAAAGAAGTCTGTAAATGGAAGATGGCTATTTTCACCTTTCCTCAAATCCAGTTAGTGTTCTATGTGAAATGAAAGTCATTACCGTTACCCAAAATTGAATGTGTCCAGTAAATCCTTGCAAGAGTTATTATTGGAAGTATTATGAAAATATGTCTTTCATATTGGATTTTTATATTGTGGTATTCTGGGTTCTTTGACATAGCATCCCAGAAGAGTCTTCCTCGGTAATACTGCTCTTCAATCCTACTGTGCCCGTTAGTATGAATAGTGATACAAATATTGTTTTTGGACATTCCACATTGTCTGGTTTTTATTTGAAAACGTTTCAGAGACTGGATTCTGATTCCATCTTCAGGAAAAACCTCGCAGTTGGTTTGTGTTATGCTTGGCATGTATACCCTATATGGTATTGATACAGATGTCTGGAGATAGGGACAAGCTCTGTTTGGGCCCATCTGAGTATGTTTTACCTGAAGACGGAGACAGAACCCAGTCACCGAAACATTGTGTTTTTAAACAAAAATAGGACGATGGATAATGGTCTAGTAACAAATCATTTGTATTGATGTACCATCATCACAAACTTACATATCTTACTTAGTATGAATAGTGGTTAAAATTGTTGGGAAACACAACCCCGTTTCATGACTCTGGATCGGGGCCATAAGACGCTTGAAGCGTGTGACACAAGATCAAGGCAATTATGTCTATTTTTCAGCATGCCTTAGGATTGTTTCGATTGGACATAAATCCCTAGGCTTCAAACAAACCTATTTGTCCTGCCACTCTCATCATCATGAATCTGATCACTTTGATAATATGAATAAAGAATAGGAAATTGTGAGGTTTTCTAACACTGGTGTGCATTCTTCCCCTAGGCTGAGAAGCCAAGTTTCACACCCATATGAATGAAACAGGAGGGAAGAGTTTAGTACTATACAGGTGCCTAAACCAGAGGCTGTCTACTTATGACACCATGACTTTCAAATGTAATGCACAAGTT